TGGGTGTGGGTGTGCGGGTTTGGGTGTGGGTGTGGGTGTGCGGGTTTGGGTGTGGGTGTGGGTGTGCGGGTTTGGGTGTGGGTGTGGGTGTGCGGGTTTGAGTGTGCGGGTTTGGGTGTGGGTGTGAGCTGTGAATGTTAAGTGCTTCTTAACGCACACCCACACCCACACCCAATGATTCAGTTGACTCTAGATGTGCATATACAACATCACGAAAAGCATTATTTAAAAGTGGAGTTTAATAAAATTCTGACTTTCATTCCAAGTTTTTGAGCACTTGGTAAAAAGTCATCAACATAATATTCCGATTGAAAATTCAAACTTTTATTTATAATCATATGATAATAAGTTGGATTTAATGTTTGTTGAACATTTTCTTTTAATGTTTGAAGAACAAAATAGGACATTGATTGTGTAGGATAATCACCGGACAACATCGTCGTAGCCTTGTCAAAAATATCAAGACAATCATGAAATGCATTTATTAATTCCCAATCATCATAGGTGAATACTAATGAACGAAACTTTTTTTCTTGAATAGAAGTTAAACCTTTAAAGTCACGTTTAGCAAACATTGCGTCAACCAAATCCCGAAGATTAATTAGACGATGTATCATTTTGAACGTACTGTTCCAACGTATCTAAAAATAAACCAATTCAACTAAAGTCTCGCTTTAGAAAACATCTACGTTTATCAAAATATAATGACAAATAGCCTTGACAGATATGTTGAATCAATTTAATAAACCAGAATAAAAAATTATGTATAAGTACCGGAGATCGTTGCACGACAGGATGCCCTGTAGGTACATAAACTGAAATCGACTTTAGAATGCATCGGTAATTCAACGAAAAATGTTGACTATCTTTATATCAATGCTAATATGTTTCTCATATCATCTCAAAACAATATTATCCATGAGTAAAAATGATTACAAATTTGTTTCAAATCAGTTGAATAAAATTGTATTGTTTTTATTCAATCATTATCGAATTTTAAACTTACACTTTCACTTATTATAATGTCAAGGAGTTTTTCAAATTTGTTTTATCGATTAAAATTGATTGATAAGCTTTAATTAATAGAAGTTGGCAAACCTTTTAATCGATTAGGAAAAAAAAACAAAAAATATTTACAATAAAAGCAATCGAATTCGGCAACTAAAAATCAGATTATAATCAGGTAAAATTGGTGCCATGTTTATTTATACTGTTGAAGAAATAATTCTTTTTAGTACAATATCTTGCCTTTTTAGCATGGGTGCATGACTTTAGTAACTAACTCATACGAAAACGTGATATGCATCCATGTAAATAGCATTTCTTGGTAACATAGTACTATCATTCAATTGAGTCGAAGTCTTTCATCACCATCTAGTACCAAGTTGCAGCTCATTTTTTTTATTATTTTCTATACGTGTTTATAATTTGATTGATGCTTGATTTTGTCGAATTCGAAACAGTTCGTATTGTCTGATGAAGAATTAGAATGAGTGTCGCATACACATAAGTTCTAATGAAATTTGTCGAAAACTTGAACTCACCACTAGCTGGTGGAATTATATAGATCATTTATGTTTTGAAGTATTCTTGTTTGCAATTAGTAAATAATTTCAAACGGTTTTTTTTTGAAAAAATGCTAGCAAAGCAAACTATTTCACCCTGTCCTGATGATGGTCTCTTATATGTACTACTTATAGATATAAGAGGAATGCGCTTCTGAGAACAGCTGGTTGTCAACAAAAGCATTATCTTTTGCCAGAATAATTGTCAATTAATTATAAAACATTTTTCATCATGTTTTTGAGAAATCATAGATGTAGTATAGAAAAAAAAAATTCGTGATTGAAACTTACTTTTACATCAAGTATAAAACCTCCTTTATTTGGACCAATTTGTTCATGTATATAATGTTGAAGTGGAGCAACCAAACGGGTCATCGATACAAAAACACGAACTTTTCGTACAAGACGATTAATACGAACAAGTAAATTAAAAACATCTTCATTTGATGTTGATTTTTCAGTTGAAACATCGGACTCCGCTTCATCAAGTACAAAATAATCGATCTAATGTATATATTCAAGAAAAAATAAGAAAACACGATGGCGAAAAGTGAATATAGCTCACTAATTGTTGACCATTGCTATCGAGTAAACATTCTCTATTAACCATAGACGTCGGCCATGAATAAGGCATAATTTCAGCTGTTCTCTCATCGTCTTCATCATCGACGAGAGATGTGTTTACTTGTTCGTACATTGAATCGAATGGAAATCTTAAAAAAATAAACAGAAAAAAATTTTGGCCATAAATATAATGAGATATCTAATGCAGATTTTTGTTAATTTTAAAAATTATGTTAAGTATATTCCATATACATACACACATATATCTATGCGTATATGGTCTGCATGTTCATGTATTTTTGTAACATGAAAATAATCGTTATCTATATGTAGGCTACCATGTTATGTACGAGAAAAATCCCTGGGTAATACTATCGAGGGAGAAATGAGGATGGCTTGTAAAAGAAATAAATAAATAACAAAATGAATACCGCAGAAGAAAAGGAGAAATATATATTATAGAAAGAAAAAAAAATAGTATTCGAGGGCTTATTCAAAGCAAGTGCATAACTTTTAACAGTTGTGATGGGGCCTGGGAGAAATGTTAGTGCAATCAGAATGAGGGCAATTATTTTCTCTTGTGAAAAGAATTAAGTGCAAAATTTTTCTTCCTTGTGATGTTTATTCTTCACATGAAGTATTGTTTACCTTTTCGGATTTGGTGGATCCCACACACATGTAGCATGATGAACAACAAGATTTAAACAATGAGCAAGACATGCATATCGCGGACCAAGTACATTTGAAGATGCTGCACATTTAATATCTGGTCCATTGTCCGTAGTAACACCTGATAAAATATGCATACCAAATCCAAAACGTACTTTTTCATGCTCGAAAAATGATTGTATATTAACAGCCAATTTTTGCTCATTGAATTGATGAAACGATATTGGTAATGAAATAAAGTCAAAGTCGATTGAGAACGTGTGAAGAGAGAGTGAAATAATATGTTGACGAGAGACATCTTTCCATAAATCACTGGTGAAGGCAATTGGTCCAATATAATGCAAAACAGATTTAAGGTCGAGAATATGTTGATGGTATTGATCATGTATACGTGATGAAAGTGTATGACGATCTGGTGGCTTGTAACTAGGTTGAAGTAAATTCAAAAGTTCAATTACTGCATCATGATTAAATATACTAAATGGCAGACCGCCTTCGATGATACATTTCAATATAGCTTTATCAATTGCATGTTTACGCATCAAAGACATTTGATTGTTGGAGGTTCTATTGATTTTCAACACTCGTTGTTCTACTTGAGATTCAAAAGCAAAACTTTGTAAATTATGAAGCAGAAGATGTGATCGTAAATTAGCTGTGCCACGACCATTCTGTTGGATCATCTAAATGATAAAAACATGGTAGAGGTTATTTTTTTTTCTGTTAGCAACTAGCTTTCATTGTACATTCTATAAGTTAACTGAAGCAAAGTTATTTCATCGATACAACTGAATTGTTTCATATTGATAAGGATTAAACAAAAATTTCTGTCTTATATGTAATTCATTTTTTCGAAAAAACATTTTTTAAAAAAAATCTCAAAATCTTCTAAACTAATTTAAACAGTCATTTTTTTGCGAAAAAATTTCAGCTAGAAAAGAGAAACAAATCAGGTCACCTTTTGTTCATTCGTACACAATGTACATCGGTATCTTCCATCAAGTTGTTTTTCAAACAGTTGGTACACCTCATCGGACCGTTTTTTTCCTGATGCAGTTGTTGTTTTTTGTGGTGGAATTTTATCAACATTAATTGAATGTTTTGTTGAATTGATATTTTTCTTGATCAATTGATTTTGAGCAGTTCGTTCAATAACACTTACAGTATCTGATTTTCCATCAAATTCATCATCGTGTATATTGTCATCAGAATCGCAGCTATTTGTTGACGAAAGAACAGTTGATGAATGTAAATTGGTGTTGATGATGGAAGTGGTAGATTTGTTTAATCGATCGATTTGTTCTAAAACCAATACAAACATTCCAAGATACAGACAGAATATTCATAGTTAAGATGTGAGGGCTACTCAGGCCATCATTTTTTTATAGAAAAGGTGAAATTAAGAAATTAAGAGCATTAATAAAAAAAAGTCTTAAGACCTTGTTTATTCCCATCCAAATCATGATATTCAGTGCACTCGGAAAATCATGAAAGAGATTATCATCAGACTTAGTCTACTAAACACAAGAAATTTTTATTGCTGAAACTAGAAACAGATATATTGTTGATATTTCTTCCATATACCAACGTAAAAAAATTATGATAAAAAGTCAGAAAAAAATCGATTAGCAAAAGATTAAAAATCGGTTATCATCATACGCTGTCAACCGATTTTCACCAAAATTAATCGAACCAATCAAAATTCTATTGATTATTAAGATTAATTTCGATTGTAATCGATTAAAACTTAATAGAATAAATGAAAATAATGATTTTTGCATCACGAGATTTGAAAATAATCTGCAGCCGATTTTCATGGATTTGTATTGCTTACAATGAAATTTTTCGTTTCAATCGATTATAATCGAAATTAATCTTAATAATTAATAGAATTTTGATTTTCTCGATTAAATTTGATTGAAATCAATTAAAAAATGATAGAAAATTGATCACAAGCGTATGATTAGAATCGATTTTTAATCATTTTTAAATCAATTTTAATGTGATTATTACCCTAATTGTTTTACGTGGGTAAGTGGTAACAGCAAGAATGAAAACAGCGCATGTTATCCTCTACACAAAACTTGAATAATTATATTATTGTGCCATATATAAAGATGCTAAGACTCTTTATCATGGTGCTTTTATCTAACATTTACTTGAAAATATTTACATCTTTTCTGTTACTAGTATGTCTTATTATCCATAAACATTGACAGAAGCTGCAATAAATAGTTAAAATAATTTCCTAGATATATAAAATGAAATATTCATTTATTTCATATAGTGAATTTACGTATAGATGATTCTCGTCTTCGACGTACAACTCTTGATGATGATGGAGATCGACTAGGCAATGTATGATGCAAGATACGATTTGTAGTAGACGATCGTGATGATCGAGTTCGTAAACTGCTAGAACGAGTTGGAGGATGTGGTGGTAAAGCATCCAAACGCGAGTGAAAATGATTATTTGCACCAGACATAGAAACAACAAAGCAAGGAAACACGTCGAAGTTGTTATGTGAATAATGACGACTATGAAATAAAGCATTTATTTAACACTGACTTCGTTCTTTACAGCGGACGAACTAAACAAAGAAAAATATTAAAAAGAAATAACAAAGCATAACACTATTAGTCGTTCTCTTTGGTTTGATTTATGATAAGTTGCCGGACAGGTGACGCATAGTCTTTTCTTTTCTCTTCTTTTGCCTTCTCTTTCTGCACCAAAAGCATATAGACTAATATCAAACAGAGAATGTGTATAATATTTTTTTTCTTCTCCATTTTATTACGTGTGATCTGATGAACTAACAGTCGATATTCAGTGCCTAATGGTTTTTTAAAATAACTTCATAGCTAGAAATGTAATCAACTGATGTTCAACAAATTTACCATGTTTTCATTTTTATTGATAATCAAATCTACAGGGCTAAATTTAGATAATTATATTTTATTGAGGTGACACACATGAAGTGATCCTATTCGAATGAATTTTTTGTGCTCTATAGCTGTGAAGAGAGCTTAGGAACATCACATACTAAGCAAACGTTTACAGAATAATAATCATTATAATGAAAAAAAAAGACTTTGCATGTTTCATCGAAAAATATTCAGTCATGTTGGCATCTTATATATGAAAGTCAAGTAAAATATGAGTCATTCTCGCTAAATGACCTTTAGATCGAGTTTTTCTTTTACAGTATCGATATCTGATAAAATTATTTATACTTTCTGAAGAACTATAAGTGGACATGTATGTCATCCTGGTGCACACATGACATTTTTTCTGTATAGAAATGTTACAAAGCAAATCCAACTATAGAGAAGCTGACGGTAAACCTACAATGATAGTTCTATAAACGAATTGCATAATCATGATACGTATTAGCATTTTTTTAATACAAAATTAACACTAATACCAAAGCATTAAATTATTTTTTTAACCCTAATGCAAAAGTATTAAATGAATTATTTATTTTAATACAAAAGTATTAGAATTTTCTTAACACTAATGCTAACCCGCCACCCCTAACTGGGACCCACTGAGATCCACTGGGATCCAGCGGGATCCAGCGGGATCCAGTGGGATCCAGTGGGATCCACGGGATCCAATGGAATCCACGGGATCCAATGGGATCCACGGAATCCAACGGGATCCGTTGGGATCCTGGGATCCGGGATCCGCTTTTTCCCCCTTGCTGACAACACATCGTTTTCTATTTTCGATTTGCATAATGTGTAAAGAACAGGAAAAAAAAATGAAATTTAAGCTTATAAAAAAGCTAATAGAAAGAATGAGTATAATGCAGTTCTGGTGACTAGAGTAGATTTAATGACAAAAATATCTTTGTTAAAATCCTTGGTGTCCATAGTACAAGATTTCTAGGAATGTCCATGATTTGCCCTAAATTCTGGTCCCCAGATTCATCCCTACATCGGGTCCCCATTTAAGGACAATTAAATAACTATGGTCAATTCTGGTGACCAAATAGGGACTTTTATTTAGGAACTTTTCAATTTAGGGACTTTTTGTGATTAACTGAAGATCTGCTATTCTAATGTAACGCGTCATGATGTCATATCTGATGACCAGATTCAAGAATAATACCTAGATTCAAAATAGCATGTAGGTCTTATTCTAATGTAAATCACTGTGATGTCATATCTGGTGACCAGATTCAAGAATAATATGTAGATTCAAAAGAGGATATAGGTCTTATTCTAATGTAAAGCATTGTGATATCAAATGTGCTGACCAGATTCATAAAGCGTAGCTCTTATTCTAATGCAGTGCGTTGGAATGTCAAATCCGATGACTAGATTCAAAATACCATACAGACGTTTAACTTTTTACCTTTTTTTGTCGTCTCATCTCGTGAATCTGTCTATGTAATTCATTTAGAAATTTAATCTGACATTCTCTTTTAAGGTAAAGTAGTGCTCAAGTCTAATTGAGATGAAACAGTGTGTCAAAAATGAGCAAAAACTTCACACTGGCAGCACAGTTAATTTTGCAAACAGAATCTACGACTGTATTTTAATTGTATTCTAGCGACTAGACACAAATTTATTAATGTGAGATTGTGACGAAAATATTTGGTTTGCTTGAAAAATTTGTCTTAATTTTTATCTACAAGTGTGTTGTTTTTAAATTTGTTAAATATTATTTAAAAAAACGATTGATCATACTGCTACCAAAGTGTAGCATAAAGAAAAGAAAAGAGATTAATAGTATGAAAAAAAAAACAAAACATTTTAGGGTAAAATACAAAAATCATATGTTTCACATAACGCAAACTATCACAAGTAAGAAAATTGAAGTTGAAATGCGTATGCCAATAACTATAGATAATGAATACAAAACGATTCTGGTGACCAGAAAGTACTTGGCCATACTAGAATTTTCGCCACAATATTTGGTTTCATTGATAAAACATTTCAACACGGTACAGGATGATGTTGAATTGTGTTCTATATGGTATAGTGTGTATTTAAGAAAAAAAGTCCCTAAATTGAATAGTCTCTAAATAAAAGTACCTATTTGGTCACCAGAATTGGCCATAATTGCTTAATTGTTCGTAAATGGGGCCCGATATAGGAACGAATCTGGGAACCAGAGTTAAGAGCAAATGGTAACCTACCATTTCTAGTATGGTAGAAGCAGGATGGCAATTGATGACAATATGTATTGCATGTGTTTTATTAAAATAAATGCGGAAACTTCGAATTTAAATCCGAGAGTTATGTGTACTTCAAAAAGTGAATCATACGGATCAGTCATCCTAGAATGTCTGAACATGAAATTATACGGGGGAACCTACCATTTCAAATGTTGATTTCTATTGCGCGTTGCCAAACCAATAGAACTTGGAACCGAATACAGCTCAAGTTTGAACTATTTCCTTTGATTTACTCTAAGAAAGTCGTTTTTCCTATAACTTGATTTCTATTGGTCACTGCTCAACCAATAGTATTTCGACGGGAGTGGAATACAGATTCGAGTTCTCCACCTCAGAAAACCTCGAAGCATCATCACTGTGACCGAAAGATAGAGCTCGAATTGTGGATCAATTAGATCGTGGACAAAAATATAACCTAGTTCTCTTTAATTATCTTTGTGATAGATGAGTCAGCCTTCTTGTTTCTTTATTTTTTATATACCATTTTGTAGCTCTTGAAATTCTCTATCGAATGGTATATAATAGTTGGGGTTTTAGTTGACCAGAATAGGAAAAGTTGTTTACGAAAGCGGGAATGGCTCAATCTTTCCATAGGGAATGTATAGGGAAAAATGAGTATTTTTGCAATAACTCAGGAATGGCTCGGCCAATCCTTCTCATCTTCGAACTCGACCGAGATATTGTTAAGACTGAACTGTGTAGAAAATCTCATCGCGATCTGACTCTCCTTTCAAAAGTTATCGAATAAACGGATGACGGACGGCCGGACGGCCGGCCGGACACACTGACCGATTTTAGTAGTGTACTCACTTTTTGAGTACACAAAAAAATCCCTAAATTAAAATCCCTATTGGGTCACCAGTATGAACGTTACTTGATTAATTATCCCTATGTGTGGATTTCATTTAGGGATGAATTCAGAGAACCTGATTTGTGGAAAATGATAGACATCCTCACTGTCGATCTTAGATATATTTCCATTTCATTTAAACTTGAGCCAAGTTGAAAACAACAGAACATTATTGTTCCTCTGTCTTTGTTTCGATTTGGAATCTGTAGATTGTAATCTGTATCGGCTGAATGGAGTTCTTCCAATAGTCTACAGAACCAAAAACAACGACGCTCATTACACTTACAATCTTTTTTGCACCGAAAAAAGTGATTAAGCTCAATCAGATAATCATCTCAATAAAGATTCAACCAGTGAACATTGTCAAATAACAGATATCTTGTGAAGAAAATCATTATCAATGCGCTAAAAAAGCTTCTACGAGCAACTTTTATTTTCGATGAAAAGAAAAAAAATAAAGATTGATAATTTATTTTAATTCGGGCGATGAAGTTTAATTCTTCTGTATTTGAATAAACGATAAATTCCTATAGCAATTGATGTAACAGCGAAACAAGAGGAAATAGTGGCAACGTAAAGTAATGCACGTGGATGTTCTTCCATTCCGCTATAAAGATTCATTCCATAGATAGCTGTTATAAATGCTCCAATGCCAAATCCCATTGTAATGATATTGATTTGTATTTCAAAAGCTAGAAGGTGATTTCTGACGGCATCAAGCATAAATCCCGTTGTACTTTCGATATTTTGAACAGAATCTTTCAGATCATAAACTGATCGACAAACTTCAGCTATCTGTTTCGCACAAGATTCGAGTAAAAGTTCAACTTCGTTTAAATCAGACGAATCACTTTGCCGATTTTCAGTCAAATACAATCCGATCATATCTTGATCATAAGCAAGTAAATCGAGCCAAGCTTGATGTGCAAGATCAGCGTTTCGGTGATGTTTATCGACTTTACTTTTAATAAAGACAAGTTCACGAAGACTTTCAATACTTATTCGAGCATAACTACTTTGACGTATTGTTTCAAATTCCATGAGAATATCTTGAGTTTTCAATTTTAGTCCATATGCTATCGATTCTCCAATGATTTCTATAATTTGTAATTCGAATGGCGTTTGAGAAAATGATTTCGTATTCTCTGTAATGTATCGTTGATTGTAGACTTGATGAATATATCGAACATTTCGACGATAAGCATGAGTAATCTTTTCCCATTCAGCGACATTCTTGATTCCAAAAGGTTCAAAAGGAATTTTTTCATTCGATGGGACAAAGAAAATACTTCGATAGGATTGAACAATAGCTCGATGGCGTCGAAACGAAAATAGAATCAATTTTCCATGACGAACACTGATAACAGGAACATTGATACGGAGATCGGTATCGATCTTTCGTAAATCACGTGGTCCAACATTATATTCACGACAGATTTCAGCTCGATCAAATGGACCATGATGGACGTGAAGAACACCATCAGGTGTTAAGATATGAATATCACTATTCAATATACGGGAATCAACAGGAATAATCTCCAATCGATGTGTTGATCTTCGGAATTTAGTTGATGATTTGGAAAGAATATGACTAACGTCAAACCAACGATGATGTCTTTGTGTAGAATCGAGAAAGAGTGTCTTACAATTTGTTGTACAGAGTTGCTTCCGAAGAGTAGATAGAAAGACAGACATTATCGGCACACGACTAGACTTTCTTTGCGAGCGATTATCAACACCAAAATGAAGCAGACAATCCAAACAGCATCGTTTTTTTCTCCAACACAGTTTATCACATGGAGACAGCGATAAAAAGATTTATTTTTTCTTTCCTCTTACTGCATAAAAAAGAAAAGAGAACGAGAAAAAAAGAAACTAACGCCAATTGAAACATGTGCTGTAGCTTTGATAATGAAGCTACGTCCATGTGTACACGGCACAGCACCGACATATATAGAATCATTGTGTCATAGATATGTTACTGTTACTTTTTACGAGATATATTGCTATTGATCCATTCTTAGTTACTAGTTGCAGACTAATGAATGAACAAAATTATTCATATCAAATTAAAATGCCATCTGTTACGTCTCCTGATTTTATTTGAATGGATAATTAAAAATATGTTTAATACGAAAAACCATTATCGTTTTAAAAAACAGAAAAATCATAAAAATTCTTCCAGTATGGTATGGTATGATTTATTGAATGTGCATCATTGATTGTGCAAGATTTTTATGACTTGTTTTCGCAATTGAATTCAACAGACGATGTGCAATAGAAACTTGACAAAAAAATCTGATCAAATTATAGCAAAGATTTGTAATATGAAATGCAGTTATGATAGTTCATATAAATGCACAGAAATTGAGCGCTGCACCTACATTTAATAGAACAATCAGAAATACTCTTCCAATATTATTTAGATTAACTGTACAGATTTCATATATTTTTGTTTCATTCGAAGATGCCACAACTATTACAGAATCTATTGCTTGAATATTGTCGTTTTTCGGGATGAGATGATGCCATATCCTTACTTACAATTCGAAGTGTTTTTACATCAGAAATATGGGTATCGCTACAAATCAGCGAAAGGCTTTTTAGCGAAAAAAATTTCAGCGAAACGTAATATCAGCAAAAAGCACAATTCGCGAAAAACTTGCAATAGCGAAAACACTTTTGCGCGAATAACGAAAGACGAAACAGCGAAATTTCTACTAGTAACCAAATAGAGTATAGTTTCAGCCAAACTCAGTAAACAAAGAACATAGTACGCATAGACAACAAGTAAAGGGAAAAGAAAGGAAAAGCAGAGAATGTAATACTGTAAATGAGAAGTTCAATCTGCTTTGGAACATAGAAAACCACTTGAAATTCCCTAACAAAGAGAGCTCACTGGTACCCATTGCAACAGCTGCAAGAGTCAAGGCAGCCTGAGAGATATTAGGACGAGCAAGTTCTTTCCAGTATATTTCAGGCACTCCAGTTGTTCCAGTCTGTATTCGATCTTTGACCTTCTTCTTAATAGTTCGATGTTTGATTTATTCTGATAAACCTATAGTAACGATGCCCGTGGGTCTTGAGAAAATGATCGATCTTCTCCGCATGAAAGTTGGTTGCATAGCCGGTCGCATGCAAAGCCCAATATTTAACTTTTGTCGTCGATCTTTTAAGCCGATATGCATATTCAAGATAAAGGAGAAAAAAATTACCTCGATTCCAAATCGTAATAGAAATCGATGTGAAATCAACTATATTCGATTAGTTGAACGAAGAAAATACAGAGTTTCTATCAGTGAGATAGCATCATGTGTAGTCAAATATTTACCCAAAGGAGAAAGAAATAAAATAGTTTAGTAGGTCAAAGAAAATAGAATAGCAAGAGTCGTTTTTTGAATGCGCATTCACTACAAAGAGATTCCGTCATCAATAAAGAAACAAAAATCTTTGTGGAAAGAAAAAAATTCGAGGAAAAGCCTTTCGCTAATATGTTTTTCGCTGAATGGACACCATATCGAAATATGTACTGGTTTATAAGTTGAGAAAAGAAATCGGTCTCTCTGTTTATTTTACTCAATCTCATTTCAGTTCTTATCCTTCCTTGTTGATATCGCATTCATAAACAAATAAGTTTGTTCTGCAAATTCCCATATCAGTATATCGTGTTCCATGCAAAGTGTAACACTTCGGTTACCACTCTATTGAGAGTCTTCGAATGTAATAGTTATCTATTCTATTGACTATACAACAATGAACTCGGCTTTGCTCTTATTCGTGTTCAAAGCGTTCGATCTACATGAAAATGACTTCAAAGGAAATCTTCCCGTTCATTGATCTAGAAATATGAAATACGTACTTTTGTTATCGGAATAAGTTGGTCAATTCGGCATACATTCACTGCGTTTATCTAATATGCTTTTAGAATCAGAAGCAAAAATCGTTCAAAAAAACAAAATATAATGTCGAGAAGATTTATCTTGAGATAGTTACATCCAAACTCTTACCCACCCTCAAATTGATCTTGATTGCATCCATTATCTGTGTTGTTGTTTTCTGTAAAAATACTATTTTTGGTGCTCATTTCATACATAATTAATTTGGTGTTCATTTGTCTTATTTTTGTGATGCTCAAAACACATTTTTTTTCCGTTCGACTTTTAAAACGAAACAAATTTATTTGCATTTTAAGCTGAGTATGACAGCGTCGGCATTTCTATATTACCGTGATGGATATAGAAAGAGATTTGCCGTTAACAACTGAATAAATTAAGGCGTTTTACATAGAAGAAACAATGAGTTATGCAGTACATTGAATAACCTTGATAAGAAAGGATATTAGTATTGATTTTTGGAATGAAATTCCTATCAAACGAACAAAAATAAATGAATTTATTTAAATATGAAATTTTTTTTTCTAACATCATCTTCGATAAACAGTTAAGAGATGTTATTTTTTATTTGAAAATACTTATTTTATTATTTTTCTGATAAAAATATATTCAATAAAGAAGAAGATTGAGAAATAAAATAAAATGAAATATTTTTCGCAATATAATTGATAATGTTTCGAATAAAATAATAACTAAAAACAATTCAAAAAATTCACACTAAATGCGAAATAAAACGTTTTAACGTTTACATATAAATCCTAATATTTATATTTTTCTCTAAATATAAAATGTACATGTACCATTTGGTAAACCAATTAAAGGATATTCGTTTTCTGCTAAACAATTTTTACTTTGATATTCATAAGGATGAGTTCATTTTAATAAATATGTAAATGCATCTTCTATATGTTTATTCTGTTATCATCATTCGGTGATCTTATACTCATTATCACTTTAATTAAACGATATTAAAATAGAAAGTTACTATTTATAGATATCAATAATAAACTTCTTACATTCACAGTTAACTGCCACTTGTTAGTGCGAAAAAGAAAACCGTTATCATTCTCTTAAGACAACGATAACACACATATTTACCTGTTAGGAATACAACATAAATGTTGGACTATGTTACATATAAGCGAGCAAAGAAGGATCCAAAGCAGCGGTAAAAGCAACGACTCTCTGCATCAAATATCTTGATATCATGACTCTAAGTCTTAATGGAAAATTCTAATAATTCTTAATCAGTGTAACGGTTAATGACAATAACGGATAACAAAAAGTATTATTTTAATCATGAAATATCGGTATTGTACATTTAGTACGTTAGAAATCATTTTCATTTACCGCTTAAATGAAATATTTTACGTGAGACATTTTTGACATGATGTCGACACAAACAAGTTTTATGTAAAATCTTTTGCTGCTCACTCATGCCAAAAAGTTTTCGGACAAATCTGTTAACATATATTCCCACACAAAAGATTTTGTAGATTAATATAAGGAATCCTTTCTCTTTTTGCAGGACACAAAGAGTTCTGTAAGAAAAGTACAAAATCTTTTATTACATCATCTGAGTACACAACGTTCTGCTAGAAAAAAGTCGAACTTTTCTTTCGTTCTGGTAACTCACAAAAATTGCGTTTATGTAGTGCGAAACTGTATTTTATTTCGCTAAATTTCCAAAACATTTCCTGTGAAAGATGGCACGTCTGTCGAAATTCACTGAATCTAAAAACATTTCGCATTGGAAACTCGAAAAGACTTTTGTTTCGCGAAACTTAAGAAAATTTCGTACCCATTTGCAAAGTCTTCAAAGATTCGGTAATATACTTTTCTTTTAGATTATTTGTTTGTCTTACGTTCATCATCTTCATTGTAAAAGGCATATGTCAATACATTGATAGACGGTGACAACAGATGAAAGTTGGTGTGGGTGTGGGTGTGGGTGGATGTCGGGGTCGGGTTGAGACTGGGAGAAGAACTACATCCACACTCATCACTTCCTTGCCAAACTCACGTGATGTTGAAATTAAAAAAGTCAAGTCAATCAATAACTTTGACATGATTACTAGGTCTATGATTATTACAAGATAGAATTGATACTATATCAGCTTATATATTTCAAGTATGGAATTTTGAAGAAAATTCATGTCGTGAATTATGAAAAGTTGATACAACATATACACGAATAGATTTTAATTTCATCTTTCTACATTAACAAGAAATGGTCAACGTTCATCATCAACACGCGAAACACAAGTTTTATCACTTAAACGCACTTAGGGTGGGTGTGGGTGTGAGGTGTGGGTGCTTCGTTTCTTATCCAACACCCACATCCAC